TCCAAAGCCAGGAGCCAAGAGCCTCCTCTAGGTCTCCCACACAGGTGCAGGGGTCCAACCACTTGGGCCATCCTCCACTGCTTTCCCAGGCCATAGCAGAAAGCTGGATCGGAAGAGGAACAGCCAGGACTAGAACCAGTGCCCATATACGTTGCTGGCACTGCAGACAGAGGATTAACCTACAGTGTCACATCGCCGATCCCCAGAGAGATGTTTAGTAGTAAAACTACTTTATATGATACTGTAGTAATCACTATTATGTCATTATACATTTTTCAAAACCCACAGAATACAAAACACCAAGAGCGAACAACAACGTAATCTGATGCATCCATCTTGGCTCACCAGTTGTAATAAATGCACCACCCTGCTGTGGAATGTTGACAGCGGAGAAGGTCTAAGTGTGTGCGTGGTGAGATAAGGTATATGAGAACCCTGCACTTTCTGTACAATTTTGCCAAAGCCAGGAGCCAGGAGCTTCATCTAGGTCTCCCATGTGAGTGGCAGGGACCCAAACACTTGGGTCATCTTCCACTGCTTTTTCCAGGCCATTAGCAGGGAACTAGATCAGAAATAGAGCAGGTGGGACATAAACAGGTGCCCATATGGGTCGCCAGCATTGCAGGTGGAAGCTTCATCCAACACACCACAATGACAGCCCCAAAAGTCTGTTTTTTAACAAAAGGAATGAATTCCCTGGTGAAATAACTGGTCTAAGCAGGATCATGAATGACTACTAACAACACAACAAAAGAGGTATCCAGATGTTGTATGCCACCTGACGGAACTGCACAATACCATATAAGAAGTCACCTTAAAAAACAAAAGAGAAAGAGAAACAGTGAGAGAAAAGGGGAAAATGCCAAATTTCAGGCTCTAACTATATTGCACAGGAAATATATAGGCAGACAAATATGTTAAATAACCATAGGGGTGCAATCAACAAATCCAGAACATGGACAGCTTTAGAGCACAAGTTACCACAACTTGTTCTATAAATAAATTGAAAAAAAAAATGGAAAGGGACCATATAATATTAAAAAAGTTTAAGAATCAAATGAAGTATGTTGATTTAGTTTGGATCCTAACTTAAACACAAATATAAATGTATCATAATATAAACATACATTATATAAAATATACTGATACAAATCCATATATAAATAAATATGAGTATATTTGTATTATAAATACATAATTATACATAAAAATAAAAATTTAATACAGGCACTCAAATACATGTACATGCATGTTCATAGAAGCACTAGTCACAACAGCCCAAAAGCAGAAGCAATTCAAACGCCCATCAATAGATGAATGGATAAACATACTGTGGGTATACACACTACACCATGGGTGAACTTTAAAAACTTTCTGATAAATGAAATAATTCAGACACAAAAAGATCATACATTGTATGAAGCCATTTGTATGAAATGCCCAGAACAGGCAAATCCACAGGGACAAAAAGTAGATTAGTGGTTGCCCGGGGCTGCGGGGAGGAAGGGAACTAAATGCTTAAATAGAGTTACGGTTTCCTTACGGAGCTGATGGAAACTCTAGAACTAGACAGAGGTGGCGACTGCACAGCACTGCGAGCTGTTCACTCTAAAATGGTTAATTTCATCTCATGTGAATTTCACTTCAAGTAAAAAACAAAAACCGGAGGCAATTATGAGCTATTTGGGGAAGTTTGGCTAGATTTTTGATATATTGAAGAATTTTTAGTAATTTTTCGTGTGATGATGTTGCTGTTATGATTTTTAAAGAGTTTATGTTTAGACTTCTTGCTGTAATTTCATTCATCAATTTCATTCATGAGCAAAATTATATGTCTGGATTTGTTTCAAAATAATTTAGTGTGAGGAGTACTGGGGAGAAAAAGTGGGTGGAGGTATAGACATGTTGAATAAGACCTTGACTATGACCTAACTTGACTAATTGCTGAGGTTGGTGATGGAGGTCCATGTGTACTATTTTTTCTACTCATAGGTAGTTGAAGTTTTGCATAATAAGATTTAATATTTCTTTTTCAATTATAATTATGAAAATCAAGAATTATGCTACACTGGGCTTATCTCAAATTATTTAGCCATCCAAACAATCTACTGTAAAATCTTTCAGGGAAGAAAAAAGATTTGGTAGTACTCAAGTCAATGTTTATTTTTATTTGTTTGAGAGGCAGCAAGAAGGAGGCAGACAGAGATTTCCCATCTGTTGATTCACTTCCCAAATGCCTGAAACAACTGGGGCTGGACCAGACTGAAGTCAGGAGCTAGAAATCCAGTCCAGGTCTCCCACGTGGTTGGCAGGGACCCAGCTTCTTGAGTCATTACCTGCTGCCTCCAGAGTGTGCATTAGCGGAAGCTGGAATCACAGGTGGAGCGAAGACTCTAACACAGGAACTCTAATACGGGGTGAGGGTGTCCCAACTGGCAGCTTAACTGCTAAGCCAAATTCCATGCTAGTACTCAGTTTAAAGGAAGAAACATGACAAATTTAGAGGAAGTAGGAGAAATTTAATACACACTTCTTGGAAGAAATAATTTTTTATGTAAGGCTTTTGGAATTCTTGATTCAACTGAATGTGACATATCTTTTTTTTTTTTTTTTTTTTAAGATTTACCTATTTATTGAAAGGCAGGATTACAGAGAGGCAGAGGCTGGTTCACTCCCCAGATGGCTACAATGGCCACAGCTGCACCGATCTGAAGCCAGGAGCCAGGAGCTTCTTCTGGGTCTCTCACACAGGTGCAGGGGCCCAAGGACATGGGCCATTTTCCACTGCCTTCCCAGGCCATAGCAGAGAGCTGGATTGGAAGTGGAGCAGCCAGGACTGAAACCGGTATTCATCTGGGATGCCAGCACTGCAGGAGGCAGCCTCACTCACTATGCCACAGCACCGGCCCCATGACAGATCTTTTTACAAAAGGAGAAGCTATGGATTTTTGGATCATTACTCCAAGGCTGGGTGGACCCATCTAAAGAATTAAGTTTACTGCTGAAAAGACTCAGCAAGGGTTAAGTGATTTACCAAAATATCATTTATAAACAAACCAGGCTGGTGTTTTGGGATAATGGGTTAAGCTGCCACCTGTGACACTGGTATCTCATATGAGCCACACGTCAAGTCCTGGCTGTTCTACTTCCAATCCCACTCCTTGCTAATGCACCTGGGAAAGCAGTGGAAGATGGCCCAAGTGGTTGAGCCCTTGCACCCACATAGGAGACCAGGATGGAGTTCCAGGCTCCTTGCTTCAGCCTGGCTCGGCCTTGGCCATGGTAGCCATTTGAAGAATGAACCAGCAGATGGACATCCCTCTCTCTCTGTAACTCTGCCTTTCAAATAAATAAATCTTTAAAAATTAAAATAAAAATAAAAGCAGATGTTTGGTATAGCAGTTACGATGCTACTTGTGACAACTGCATCCCACGTAGGAGTGCCTGGGTCTCACTCTCAGCTCCACTTCTAACTTCTAACTTCCTGCTAATGCCCACCTTGGGAGGCAGCAGGTGATGGCCTGAGTAATTGGGTCCCTGCCACACACAAGGGAAACTAGGACTGAGTTCCATCCTCACGGCTTCAAACAGTCCAGGCTGTTGCAGGCTTTGGGGACTGAACCAGTGGATGGCAGCTCTCTCTGTCGCTCTGCCTTTCAAATATAAATAAATACATACTTTTTTTTTTTTTTTTTTTTTTTTTTTGACAGGCAGAGTGGACAGAGAGAGAGACAGAGAGAGAAAGGTCTTCCTTTTTGCCGCTGGTTCACCCTCCAATGGCCGCCGCTGCAGCCGGCGCACCGCGCTGATCCTGGCAGGAGCCAGGATCCAGGTGCTTTTCCTGGTCTCCCATGGGGTGCAGGGCCCAAGCACCTGGGCCATCCTCCACTGCACTCCCTGGCCATAGCAGAGAGCTGGCCTGGAAGAGGGGCAACCGGGACAGAATCCGGCGCCCCAACCGGGACTAGAACCCGGTGTGCCGGCGCCGCAAGGTGGAGGATTAGCCTATTGAGCCACGGCGCCGGCTAAATACATACTTTTAAAAACCCAGACAGTATGAAAAAAAGACAGAGGATAAAAAGATTCCTTATTCTACAATTCAAACAAATTTGAATTACAATTTGGGGGTGTTTTCTCTCAGCTTTATCTTTTGTTTTTTAACTTCTTTTTTTTTTAAGATTTATTTTATTTATTTGAAAGGCAGAGTTACAGATAGAGATACAGCCAGAAAGAGAGAAAGGTCTTCCATCCACTGGTTCACTCCCCAAATCACTGCAACGGCCAGAGCTGAGCTGATCTGGAGCCAGGAGTGAGGAGCTTCTGGGTCTCCCATGTGGGTGCAGGGTCCCAAGCACTTGGGCCATCTTCCACTGCTTTCGCAGGCCATAGCAGAGAGCTGGATTGGAAGTGGAACAGCTGGGACTCAAACCAGCATCTATAATGGGATGCCTGTGCTGCAGGCTGGGGCTTTAACCTGCTGCGTCACAGCACCAGCCCCATTGTTTTTTAACTTTTTAATGTTCAATTTTTCTCACCCATAACTGTTAACATATGAAGTATAAAACTTTACATATTTTTTCTAACATAACTAAGAATTTTTGCATATTAATTATATATCCTTGGAAAAAAGACCTTTAATGGTTGTTTGATATTTCACGGAGTTGATATATTTTCTTTATTCATTCCACTATAAAATGGCATTCATATTTTTTCCAACTCTTTATTACTATAAATAAAGCTGCTATGAACATAGTTTTACATATATCAATTATGATTAGGATTATCATAAATCATTCGATTTCCTCAGAAGATAAAACTTCCTAACTGGAAGCCTCCTTTTCTCCTTGAAAATTTGCTGATGGGCAAAGAAAAGTGAGACTCTCCATCTTCTCTGTGGATGAAGTTCAAGAACAACCAAAATGATGTAGAGTTGGACTGATGACTATTTTGGACAAAATAATCTTTAAATGGATAGAGGCAGAAATAAAAATATACTCTACCTGTTGAAAAGCTTTTTCTGCTTGACGTTCAGCATCAATAACTTGTCTCTCAAGCTGTTGCATCTGTAAAGTTAGGAAACATAAAAAGTGTAAAAATTCATATTTCTCTTTTGGACAAAACTTAAATCTCACAATGTCATCTATTTCTTTAAGAATACCTAAAGCAGTCTGTCAGATACAAGTAACATGCAATCATCACATTAAAGACTCTTTGCATATATAAAAATTGATCAAGCAGAACACCAAAGTTGTGATATTTTAATACAATGTAATCATATATTACAGAGGAATATTCATCCATAGGTTTTGTCTTCATTGGATTGGAAGCTAGCAATTACTGATCAACCCATATTAACAACAATAAATTAAATCTAAGAGAATTGTAAAATTCAAGGGTCATATTTGACATATCGATAAAAAAGCCACAAAGGTATCAGAGAAATCGGGTATTCTCATAAATTCCACAAGTATGTTTAAATCAAAACTGGGCCACTTTATATTCTTATGGATGGAAAGAGTACAAAAGAGGCTTTGATTAAACACACACACAAACATTAAAATGAATAATATAAGTAAAACGTGTGAGCTCTAAAATGCAGCCAATGCTTTAACATAAAGGATGTATACAGGTGTTGGATACACAATCCATGAGGTGCAACTCAGTTTTGCCTGGGGTTATGTCCTGGGTTTTGACAGCCGTGTTTGGCCAGATTGACAGAGGACACAGAGCTCAAACTCAAGACCACAAGCACCAGCCCCTTGGCCCAGCTCACATTCCAGAAGAGGCAAGCATGGAGCTCAGGAAAAGGGCTCCTGTTGCCCATATCATCCTCGGGGAAACAGAACCTGAACGCTGTGGGATTGCACTGAAAGAGACTTGGACCAGACACTGGGACCAAGCACGGCTCTCCAGTACTGAAGGCTGTTGGATAAGGAAAGAAATGACAAGTGAGGAAATGACAGATGAGGAAAGTTTATGGCTACCTCTTTGAAAAGACGGGTTCTTCCTTGCACTTCCTACTACACTTGGGGCCACTGAAATTTTCATGCACTTTTCTCCAGGGCCACACTGTTACATCCGGAGACCTGAAATATGTGGCTGTGCAGGGAGGAATTGTCTTAAGTATGGAGGGGATGAGAAGCCTTAACAGACTTCTCCATGGCTCTAAATACTATGCTGCAGATCAGAGTGTGATCCTGAAGTTACCCTCAAACTGTCTGAAATACACATGCATTTTTGCAGAAAATGCAGAGGATTAAGAAGGAAAGAGATCTCAGTAATACAAAGCCAATCATATAGCTTATTCAGGAAGCAATGCCTAGTAACCCTTGGCAAGTAGTAAAAGGCTGCTGTGCAGATATGGTTATAAGAATTTTAAAGGACTAACTCCCCAAAAAGATGGAAGCTTTGAAGAATGGCCTGTGCTGGCTAACAGATTTTGCACATCGTTTCACTGATACATGGTTTTCTCACCTCCAGGTGATTCAGAAACGGCCTGGGGGTTGACAAATACTAGAATTGGGCTGTCAAAGGGCACTTGGAATGCAGCTAGTGCAAATCAAGCTAGTGTAAAAGTCACACGTCGCTCAATACAGATATTATCATAAAACAGTACAAAAACACAAAAATCTCTAACTTTTCATATTGACACTTGAAATGATAATGAAAAAAAGTTGCCTTAACTATATTATTAAAAATTAGTTTCACCTACTTCTTACTCATTTTATGAACATGTCTATTAGAAAATTTTAATTATATATGTGGCTCACATATTTATATTGGATAAAAGCACAGAACATCCACTGTTACCACCTATGGCAATTCAACTGCCTGTCCACAGAAAAGCATTTTTTTTAAAAGATTTATTAATTTATTTGAAAGAGTTACACAGAGAGAGGAAGAGACAGAGAGATCTCCCATCCACTGATTCACTCCCCAGATGGCTGCAACAGCCAGGGCTGGCTGGGCCAAGCAGAAGCCAAAAGCCAGAGCTTCATCTGGGTCTCCCATATGGAGGCAGGAGCCCAAGCTCTTGGGCCATCTGCTACTGCTTTCCCAGGCCAGTAGTAGGGGGCTGGAAATGGAGCAGCTGGGACATGAACCGGCACCCATATGGGATGCTGCATCACAGACGTTGACTTCACCTGCTATGCCACAACGCCAGCGCAGGAGAGCATTTCTACAAATATCATTTATTGCAGGAATCTAGGATCTAGAAGAGGGCTCACAAGCTCGGATATGTAAATAGCTGTTTCTCAAGTGCATTCTCTGAACTTTATATCATCTTTAATTTTTGTGAAAAATACTTCAAATGTTTAAATGAGCAGGTAATTGTTATTGGAAAGCATTTTGTTGAGTTCGTGTTTAGACTATGTCACCATATAGAAGCAACTGGACAAGTATTATGTCTCTTGGGTGTCTCTAGGATATTTCTTAAACCCAAAAGCCAGCTGGCAGACATGTGGTAATATCACATTCTTCCACTGCTGGCAATACCCTGACAGCTGTCACCCCTGTAACATAACTAGATTCTATTTTCAGGGGAATTTTTGCACTTCTGGAGCCCTACCCTTTTGCATATTATTGAGATTGCCAGGAGAAACAATTTTGCTTAAAAAAAATTGTCACTGAAAAAATAGCTTTTTATTCATCTTTTTTGCTGTCAGCTTTCAATTTTTTTAAATATTTATTTATTTATTTGAAAGTCAGAGTTACACAGAGAGAGGAGAGGCAGAGAGAGACAGAGAGGTCTTCCATCCGCTGGTTCACTCTCCAGTTGGCCGCAATGGCCAGAGCTGCGCTGATCTGACGCCAGGAGCCAGGAGCTTCTTCTGGGTCTCCCACGTGGGTGAAGGGGGCCAAGGAATTGGGCCACCTTCCACTGCTTTCCCAGGCCATAGCAGAGATCTGGATCAGAAGTGGGGCAGCCAGGACTCGAACCGGCACCCATATGGGATGCCAGCACTACAGTTGACGGCTTTACCCGCTATGCCACATCACCAGCCTCTTCAATTTTTTTTTTTTTTTTATTTGACAGGTAGAGTTATAGACAGTGAGAGGGAGAGACAGAGAGAAAAGTCTTCCTTCCATTGGTTCATTCCCCAAACGGCCGCCATGGCCAGCGCTGCGCTCATCCTAAGCGAGGATCCAAGTGCTTTTTCCTGGTCTCCTATGCCGGTACAGGGGCCCGAGCACCTGGGCCATCCTTCACTGCCCTCCAAGCCACAGCAGAGAGCTGGACTGGAAGAGGAGCAACCAGAACTAGAACCAGTGCCCATATGGGATGCCGACACCACAGGTGGAAGATTAACCAAGTGAGCCATGGCTCCGGCCCCCCTTCAATTTTGTTTTAATTTATTTTTATTTATTTGAAAGGCAAAGTTACAGAGAGAGGGAGAGGCAGAGAGAAAGAGAGAGATCTTTCATCTGCTGGTTCACTCCTCAAATGGCCAAAATGGCCGGGACTGGGCCAGCCAGAGCCAGGATCCAGAAGTTTCTTCTGGGTCTCGCACATGGGTGCAGGGGTCCAGGCACTTGGGCCATTTTCCTCTGCTTTCCCAGGAGCATCAGCAGGGAGTTGGAACAGAAGTAAAGCAGGCGGTACTCAAAAAAGTGCCCATATTGGATGCTGGCACTGCAGGCTGGGGCTTTAACTCTCTGTACCACATTGCCAGCCCCACAAAATGGTTTTCTTAAGAGGACTCTCCAAATATCTGATTTGTCCTTCTATAAAGTTTGGATTATAGTGGTATTAGGAAAGTGAACCAATGGATGAAAGAGCTCTGTTTGTCCATCTATCCGTCTGTCTCTGCCTCTCAATAAGTAAGAAAATAGTAAGTAAATAAAATTATAACAGCAAATAAATAAATAAATAAAATTAAAGACCTAGTGGAGAGTAATGTATTGAGCTGAAAATAGTGGGTATTAATGGAAAATATGTAGCTCTTACTGTGAACCAATTCCCTGAAACCTTTTTTATCCCATGCCAACTGTCTAGCAGCAAAGTGTTTACTTTCTGCTATAAAATCGAAAAACTCTTCACTTTCCAAATGGAATACATTTTTGGACTACTTTAACAACTGTGGGTTTTATGAGCTCACCACCTAAACGACAGTCTCCCACCCGCTCACCCTGAAGCAAAAGTGAACAGTTGACCAGCCCTGGCTAATTATACACAATTGCCAGTCAACTTTATAGATGTCCCATTCTTAAACACGAGCACAAATAGACCACCAAAGATCATCAGACATTTGAGAAAAGCTCAGGACCTGCAATAATTAATTAAAATGGAAAAATAATCACAAAGGAAAAAAAGATAATTCAGGGAACAGAAGGAAACTTTGAAAAAAATTCAAACTAATGTTTAGGAACCAGGAACTTTCAAATACATTATTTCACAGTCCTACCATGAGACAGAAATTGTTATTCCCAACCTAAAGATTAGGAAATTAACATTAAGAATGAGTATGCCTGGTGCAGATTTGTGCTCCTAGACAGTGGCACAACTGGGAAGTCGGTCTTCAGATTCAAATTCTCTAGTACTCTTTTCATTGAACCATAGCTGCTCTACTATTATAAACTACACATACAGTTATAGTTACACAGAACCATATAAAAATCAGTCCCAAAATACAGAACCACAGAATTCTTAGCTGGAAAGCATTTGTCTTTATTTCTGTCTTCAGTCTGCTATTCTTTCAGCCTAGGAATCTTACTGTTAACTGAAAAATCATATTGACATTCCTTATAGGAAGAATTTTAAGTTGCATGTTTTCAGTAAACCTATCACAGAAAGAAACAGAGAGATGGAGAGATAACCAGACAAGGCTAAATTCTAACAAAATTCTCCCACCGGATAGGAAGAAGGTATGTACTCACTCTCCAGGTGTTAGGTGTATTATTTGCTCACACAAAAATGATTGAAGCAGGCATAATGAATACTATGTAACAGAAATTCAATAAATGCATTTGAACAAATGAATGAAAGAGCAAAATGAATAAATCAAGGCTTTAACTCTTTCCCAAAAATTATTTTAAAGTAAGGATAAACTAAAGAGAAACC